TTTGTCAGTTGCCATTTTCATCATAGTCGGTTTGGTTGCGCTGTTGTCTGGCGGCTTTTGGTATTACTTGGGATTGTGCCGGTTTATTTTTTTATCGTGTTTGCTTGATTGAATCTCTTTTGAAATTGGATTGATGTGTAATTGATGTGGATTTTCAGAGTGTACATAAGAGTATTTTGAATTAAAGCATTGAAAATGCCGAATTGTCCAGGCTGCAACAAACCTGTATACTTTGGTAAGATTATCATATCGTTTACTTTTCATTTTATTAGTGGTAATTAGTAGATGGGAAACGTTATGATCGTATATTGTTTGATTCATGTTTATCAGAACAAATGAACAGATCATATGAGCTTCCACGTTGAAAAGTTCGCAGTATTTGTATTATTTAATGGGAATTCGTTGCATGAATGATAGATATTTTCCTTCATATCGATTACACTCTTACATTTGTTTTCTTTTGTAGGCTAGTTCTTTCAGAACAGTTGTTTTTGTCTAATAAATTGTATAACTGTTTAAATTTGCAACAATAATAGGTTTAGAATCTCCCGTAATTCTGGGTCATCAGGTAGCAGTACTTCAGTCAAGTACTAGATTTGGTTAGCGGATTACTGTTTCAAGTTTATATCGCAAGAAATTCGAATGAATCGTTTTAGCTGAGCGTGTCTCGTCAATTGGGAAGGACTGGCATCGCCCATGCTTGCGTTGCGAAAATGAAAATTGCCGAAAGACGCTGACAGCTGGTAACCATTCCGAGGTATATCTATATAAAGAGTTCCTTTTAAGCTTTGTTTCTTTCATGTGAACTTTCTGGTGTTTTTTTCCTTTAAGCTCTGCTTTTCAATGCCTTGCTTTTCCTTTCCAAAATTTGTTAGATTTTTACATTTTATATGGTTTAGTTCAGACCTTGAAAGATGTTTTACTCGTGTCTGTTTACTTATTCATTCACTTGCCGCATTTCTGTATTTACTTTTCTTGTTGTGGTATAAAGTATCTCTCTCTCTTTCCCGACGTTTCAGAGCGAGCATTTTTGCTAAGAACACCGTAACTAGTGCCCTTATGAATGCTTATTTTGGGGATTCGACGACCGAATTACTTCATTCCTCACTGTTTTTTTGCATCTCTTCTATTAATTCGTCGAATTCTTGTTCTCAACCCATCTCTGAATTCCTTATCGACTGTAAGGAGAAGGTTCTAGTACCACATGGGGAGAATTAAATTTAGATATGGCTTGATTTGACTTAATGCGGTCCCAATTATCATTAATTGAGATGGTTGTGGTAAATTGCCCTTATCCATAATTGTGGTATAAAAGAATTCCTTCTGATATCTTGGAGGGGATGTTTTAGCAGTATGCGGAAGTGCAGAGTGGCGTCAAACGCATTACCTTGCTTTTTTTTGATTGTGTAGTTAACAACAGCAAATTGCCACTGTTTATAATTTTCACTGCTTTGCTGCTAGAAAATTTTGAGATTAGGGGTTTTGACTGGTACTACTGTTTTTTGATCTTTTTTTTTGCTGTAATTGAGAAACAGTTATTTAAGGAGGGATCATAAATTTAACTTTAGTTAAAATAGAAGGTGGGGATTAAGTTTAAATTTCATTTCCAAATGAAAACATCGTGGTTAAATGGTCATCACAGTAACAGAAGCAAGAGTATAAAGGAAGGGGCGGAAATGACAATTGAAATTTTAAAGATAAGGTCTGGGGAGAGTTGGAATGACGTTCAAAACAGTAAGTAGTGTAGTGTTAGATTAAAATAGCAATGCAGAAAAAGGTGGAATAAACAGGAAAAGGTAGCATATTAAAGGGCTTTTAAAAATTGGTTCAAACCGTGTCTGAGAAGTTCTCAAAAAATTGCTCCGTTCGTTGGTCTGTTCAAAGAAAATGTGGTCAAATAGAGGTCATCGTTTTATAATTGAAGGGTTCTTACAGCTGAAAAATTTGATTTTCTTGTTAAATGTAGCATGACATTGTATAATGTTTTATGTAATCTTCTGCTCCTAGCTCTTTTTACTCCTTTTTTCAACCCTATATTTTTTCAGCGTCAGGGCAAGCCATATTGCAACCACTGCTACGGAGCGCTTTTTGGACCGAAAGGTTATGGACATGGTGGTTCGGAATCTCACACATTCCACAATGGTTTGACTGGAAAAGCAAATTGATTTCAAAAAACTTTTTCAGAAAGTTTTGAAGTATTGTCTATCAACAATATTAATATGTAATATTAAATATTAATGTACGGTGTTGCTACTAGTTCTGTGTGAAAGAACAGTTGCTTATGATTTCATGTTAAAGGTCCACAAAAAATTTTAATCGGGATGGTCTTCCTCTTTCCATCGTTTCTTTGTATTTCTTTCATGTAGTAATCCTTTAGTTTTCACGAACGGACTTAGCTGGGAATTTCTTAGATCATCCAGTCTGGATAAGTTTCTGAAACATTTGACAAAATAAACCTCATCGGGTCCTTTTTTTTTCTCTCCCATTCCATTTACTGTCGTCCACTTGTGAAACCATTCCACTTTTAAATCGATAGTTTCAAATATTTAATTTTGCAATTAATAAAAATAATCCGGTATCACCGTTGACATCTATTGTTTTTATGCCGTGGTAATTTTGGTCATTATATGGTGTTAAATAAAATCTTACTAACAATAAAATGACTTTCTTCAACATTTAAAATTAGTACAAGCAAAGAAAGGGAAATCTCATCTGCAATCAGTCGGAACTGTGATGCAAAATCCGGATTTGGTTAGAAGTGGAATCGATCGAGTTAGATATTATAGTTCAGATTTTCGACTGAAGTCAGGTGATTACAGGTTTCAAGTCAAGTGAAATCAGGAAACTTGAAATTATTGGAGGGGTTGAGTCGATGATTGGAAAATATTAAATGTGGAGGTGGGATTAGTTGTATGGTATCATCGAACCATGTAGCTTTCTATACTAAAACAATTTTCCGTTACTCTTTCCCTTTCAATGTTTTCTTCTCCATGATCGCAAGGCGAAAAAAAGATGTTCCGTAGGGGTAAAAAAAAAAAGAAAGTAAACGTACGTCAAGTGTAATATGCAAAGAGTACGTATTGATTTAATGACCATACTCCTGCTTGAATCACATTCCATGTGGAGGTAAGGAAATTTAAAAAATGCACGTATTTCCTAGCCAATCACGTTTTGCCTCCAAAAGCAATGAGATGGAATGAATGGGATGGGATGTTGAAAGGATAGGATACGTGCAGATTACAATAATTTTAGACTGCATGGAACTTTCTGGACGTTCTTGCCCTAGCTGCTGGAGGCTCAGCTATAAAAGGGGGTAAGTAGGTGGTGGGCTTTCATTGTTCTAGAATGGCTGGTGGCAAGTGTTTGGTTTAGGTTAAGGATGGTGGGTTGGTTGGTTGGTTGGTTGGTTGGTTGGTTGGTT